GCCATCGTATTTGAAAAAGGGGGGGGGGCAAGCCAGAGAAAAAAATCCAAACTTCTATTTACTTGGAAGAAGGGGATGTAGGTCCCACTTCCTTCAGTACCAAATGTTATTCATACAAAACGACTAGATCCTTGATTGGCTTTATTGTAACAAAAAGAGGGAGGCTGTCGGTGGTCTCTCAATGAAGATTTTTTAAACATAAAGAGATGCTTAGAAAAAGAAGTGTGGGGAGCGCTGGCAACAGAAATAATAGAAATATCAAACCTTTACAGTTCCTTAGTATGGCTTTGTGCAGGGACAAAAATATATAGCTATAGTAGGAATGAATTAGTATATAGCATTAATTTGTTAGCGAGGACCTAAATTAATTTTTAAAAAGTTATACGGGATAATGTAAGCGCAGACATAATATTCTTTTTCAAAGGGGGGGGGGGGCGGCGGCACCAAATCTCACAAATGTTAAGTCTCAGAATTTTTTGACAAGCTAAAATAAATAAACAAAACAAACAAGTTATAAAAATTCAAAATTAATAAATAAAAATAAATTTATTACAAGAGATATGCGATTTTATCGGCATACCACCTGCAGTACTAGTATATCACATTTTTTTTTGGGGGGGGGTGGGGGGGGGGGTTCATATGTTTGGTTCATGTGATTCGGGGGCCTTAAGGCAGGTATTTAGGTGCATATCACAGAGTCCAGAAATTATTTGCGATTTTATTCTTCTTGAAAAGAATTTAGAATGTTTAATGGTTAACAATTTCCAAAACATTTAAATTTCAAAAATTTATAATCAACATAAGATTTTGGTTTTAGTGTAAGTCTAAGGGGATCTAGAGGTTAGGGCAATAATTATAGGCAGACAAAAAAAACTGGATAAATTTATTTATTTTAAAAAAAAAAGTGTAAAAAAACTGTCAATGATAAAACAACAGTAATTTTAAGAGGTTGATCTAAAAACCAAAAAAAAAAAAAATAAAAAGTGGGTGTCAAAATTGTATTGCAGACTTTTTTCATTGACGTTGTAAATTTTTAATACAAACACTGACATATTTATGCAGAAACTGTTTTTGCATTAACAATGCGATTTCACTTCCCGCAATTTTTTTTTTACCTGTTACTCCAGGTAAACTGAGGAGTATACTCGCGTAACACGGGTTGATCACCCGTGTCGAAGATGGTTGTTTTTTTTACAACTCTAGTGACTGTGTAACCCGTGTGTTTAATCAAATCCCCTAAGTACACAAAATATTTGGTAAAATCAAACATATTTCGACATCAGCCTATTTACTTGAAATCATAATTTAAAACCCCAATTCTTTTCAAAGCAGCAGCCCCTTTCCAGAAAGTACAAAATATGCAGAAACGATTAATATTTTAAAATTTTTTAAATTTCAACCAGGGTATGCCCTTGCAATATTAAAATTTTTTGACCTACATTCCGTGTACCTACTATTCATTCAAAATGAATGCATGGCAAAATGAAAACCATCTATCCTTTTTTTGTTCAATACAACAGAAGTAAAAAAAAGAATAAGATAGATTACACGATAGAACGTACTGGTTCCTGCCGACAAAGCAGGTAACAACATTGTCTTCGTTTGTAAGGCTCATTATATAAATTGCATTATGAAGAACTTGGATTTAATTCTACAAGTGGTAATCCTACTTATACAAAAACTTCTCTTTCTAAGGAAAAAATTCTTCAAAATCCCTTAAATATTTTAATATTCCACAGTCCAAATGAATCTGAACTACCTTTAGTTAGATATACCGTAAATCTGGAAATTTTTACGTCGAATTTTTGCGAATTTGGGTCAAAAAGCTGTTGATTTTACGTTTCAAATTTTTGGAATTGTCACTGGTGCTAAAAATAAAAATCACTGAAGATTTTCATATCAGGTTATGTTTCAAATTATATCACAGTAAGAATACCACCAGAAAACCCCAACGTGGCAAGATTTTCAAAATCGCTCCGAAACAATTTCGATAAAAATACAAAAGGATTTGCACTGGAAATAATTTCTAAATAAATTTAAAAAGAAACTTTCAGAGGTTGTGATGCCTTTTAACCTAAAGTATAATCCAAATGAAGAAAAAATATAACTAATCTCCTCAAAGTTTGGTTTTTTCTTACCTAAAATTTACACGCCGCGTTTACATTTGGAACTTTCTAGTAAATGCACTGAGTTTGAGTTATCGCCCGTGTTGATAGACGGTTAGATAAAATAACAGTTATCTCTTCATAGGCAAAATAATTAAAAAGGGGCATACCGCCTCAGTGCTTGTCAAACCATCGGACGATATTGCATATAATGAGGGCAATTTACAGTCACGGTTAATTAACTTGTAGTTACATATTAGACTAGATAGTGTAAACATTTTTTTTTAAAATCCCGGTGCTTACCGACCCCTATTCACTGAGTTAAACAAAAAAAGACACCAGTTCTCGGAAAAAAAATTCTTCACATGTTGATTTATTTTTAAGAAAAATATTTTTGCGAATGCAATGCACGCGCAAAATTGCTTTTATCTACAGAAAAATTTTCCAGATTTACGGTATTGGATTCCGAAATTTCATAAGAATCCTTACAAACAAAGATACATTGCAGGTTCCAGTAAATGTTCAACCAAGCCTCTTTCCTTACTTCTCACTAAAATATTGACAGTAGTGAAGGAAAAACTTAAGAGTACTGTAAACTATATATTCAAGAAGTGGTGTAAATCAATTAGAAAAATTTAAAGAATTTTGGACAATTTGAAATCACAAGACTTTACAAAAATCAACAGCAAAAAAACTTAGATTTTTCAACTTTATACACAACAATTCTCCACGAAAAATTAAAATCCAGGCTTTTGATAAATTGACAGCTGCTTTTTAAAAAAAAACAGTTCTCGTAAGTTTACTTACCTCGTCATTGGTCATTTGAAAAATTATTTTGTTAAAACAGATTCTGATTGCACACATAAGTACTCTGAAGTTGACATCAAGGATCTTAGTTCTGATTGACAATCTTGTGGTTTTTGGAGACCATATTTCCAACAATCTATTGGAATTCCCAGGGTACAAATTGCGTTTGTTATTGGCAGTTATTTTTATATTCATATGAAGCAGAATTTTGCAAATTTTTGTGAAAAGAAGAAAACACTTGCTTTGGCCTTCAACTCACTTTAGAATATAGACGTATTGTCAATTAATAATGATAATGTCCATTCCTAGTGATACGATATACCTGGTGAGCTTGAGATAAAAGATACTAGAGAACCCGACACTTCTGCTTCATACTTGGATATAATATTTTTAATGACCTAATGGTAATTAACAACCAAGCTATATGATAAACGTCATGACTTTAATTTTTCTATCGTCAATTTCCCTTACTTATGCAGCAATGTACCTCGCAGCATTGTTAAGGTTTGAATAAGGGGGGGGGGCTTAATTTATACCGGAAAAGTATATTATGACATCAAAAAAATATGACATTCATTTTTTCATAATTCGCGTAAATGAAGTAATTTGCAACCCTAAACAGTATTAACATAATAAACAACATTATAATGATCAATGCATTATAAAAAATTGCTAGTTAAATCCCTTGTAGCTGCTAAGCACTCGTCGCAATGAACTTTTTAACATGACGTCATACTTGTAAAAAATGACGTTCTTCATGTGCTGTGAGAGGCAAATTGAGAAATTGTTTATCACCGAAAAATGTGTTTTATAATTAAATGAAATATTATTTATGTCTTCTAATGCTTATAGGCAAGATCCCCGCAGTTTGTTTTTGCTAATTTTGTAAAAGTAAATAAAACACTTTCATGTTGATGAATAATGTCATTTATTAAAATGACGGTATAAATGTGAACAATTTAACAAACAAGAAGGAGATCAGATTCACAAGCTTTGATTAGCAGTTACGTAAAATATGATAATGTCTGATCCCCAAAACTGACTAGAAAAAGTATCTGTAAGACAAGACAATCAAAACATCATATGAAAAAGTTAGCAAAAAGATGGCACATCAAAACAAAATAGGCCAAGACAAGACAATCAAAACATCATATGAAAAAGTTAGCAAAAAGATGGCACATCAAAACAAAATAGGCCAAGGATAGTAGTGAAACAAAATACATGTACATAAAATTATATATATATATAAACAAATTAAATCAGGACCAATCAAATATATAATTTTACATGACACATTAATACCCATTTTAAGGGGTAGGAATGCAGGGGTGGAGGAGGGTCTTCAAAATAGACGTGCCTGATGTTAGCGTGGTCAGCATGCGGGTTATCACAATACAACTGAATGACTCCTGAGCTGACCACGTGACCTTACACCTATTATATGTAATCCATCAACCAAGGCGTGGATCTAAGAATTTTCACAATCTACCAAAATTAAACCTACCGGAAACCTCCAGCTAAGTTATCGCATTCAATACATAAATACAATTATTATTCTAAAAATTGTTGTTTTATGTATTCTTATGCTTATAGGCAAGCTCACCGCAGCTTGTTTTTGCTAATTTTGTATAAGTCAAATAAAACACTTTCATAGAGATGAATAATGTCATTTATTAAAATGACGGTATAAATGTGAACAATTTAACAAACAAGAAGGGGATCAGATTCACAAGCTTTGATTAGCAGTTACGTAAAATATGATAATGTCTGATCCCCAAAACTGACTAGAAAAAGTATCTGTAAGACAAGACAATCAAAACATCATATGAAAAAATTAGCAAAAAGATGGCACATCAAAACAAAATAGGCCACAAGATGTGACATGCATGTCACATCCATGTTAGATGTGACATGCAGATCACATCTGCGCCATCCAAGGTGAGCTTGCACACAATATGAATTATTCATGGAAGCAGTTAATCACTGGCCTCTCCATACATTGCATCTTAAAGTAATGAAATGAAAAATAATCGTATTATTATTTCATAATCACGGTTTACACGAATATGCCATATTTAGGGACCAGGCAAAATTTATCACAATGATGGGACCGGTACAAAAAAAATAATTCATTTAAAAAAAACACATGTCCCATGGTTTTCAGCTTGAAAAAAAATGTGTGTCCCATGTCTTGGGACTTTAAAAAAAAGTTACTGTCCCATGGATACATCTTGATGTTCATGAGGATTTTGCAACAAAAAATATCAAAAAGTACAATATATTTATATATTAAACATGTACTGGTATAACATGGGTACAAAGATATTTAAAGATGCTTTCAACCAACACTTTCATGATTCAAATGATTCTTTTTCAATAAACTATTCAGTCACTACACAATTAGTGAATCATATAAACTGCACGTATAAAAAAAAAAAAAAAGAAAATTACACTTTAGAATATTTCTGAAATTATAAGAAAAAAAAATATTTAAGCAAAACTCTATGTGAGACTGATAAAATTAATCATGTACATGTATTTAAAATATCATCGTATACATGTATGCACCCCAAATACTTTAAATTTTGTAAATTAATTGATGCCTCTTATTCATGCACACTAAAGATTTCCAATTGTTAGGTAATTTTATGCTGTGAGAATGATTCTGCCTTTTATACAAGTGAGATAGAAAAAAAAGTTATTTATAGTTAATAATACAATTTGTACCAGTAAACTAAAATATGCTTTGTGATGATGAAAATGAAATAAATAGTTTCAATATTCAAATCATTATATGATATGTTTTTATCTAAACCCAATCTTTAGAACTTCCTTAATTATTACAGTAAAGTGTAATCCTTTAGCCAAGATGGTTTCTTCACAGATCTTCTTGAGTTTGTAATGTTAACTTCAGTTCTGTTTTCTTCTCTCTCCCTTTCCTCTGTCTCATTTCCACTCTCCCCTGTATCGCTCTCACTTTCTTCACTATCATCACTCTCTTCACTCTCACTGTCATACGCTTCTATTACTAAATCTTCATCATCATCATCATCATCATCAGATATTTGGGGTAAAGTCAAAGATGATGCAATGTGTCTTTGTATGACTTGAACTTTTTCTGCTTTATAATGAAAACTTCCTAGTTTGTGATGAACAAGATATTTGTCCAAAGTTTGAACAGACTGTTTTTCAATCAGGTTTTGTTCAAACATTTGAATCCAATCGAAATCTGTGTAGGTTTTTTCTGCTCTTTCAATTCTATTCCTCCTGGACAATTGCAGTCTTTTGTCTTTTTGAAGCTTTAGAGATTCTAAGTGTTGAAGATATTGTTGAACACAGTCTTCATTCACAATATACTTTTTACTGAATTCTAAAACTGTGTCAGGTTTTGAACTTGAAATGTGGCCTTCAGAAAATAATTTTTTCAACTGAACTCGAGGCTGGTAATCATCGGTTGATCGGTTATCAACAGGTGTTTCTTGTATTGATTTATAATGGAAATTTGCTCCTGGAAAGGGTTTTGGAAAAGGCTTGATTGGAATTTCTCCAAATCCAGAATCCTTTGAATTAGTGCAAAAGACACATCTCTCACCGTCATCATCCAAACATGAATTTTTACGGTATTCCATGTAGAGCTCTCCAGATTCAAAATGAGAAGCAAGGAAATCATGAATTTTTTTGAAATATCCATGTCCTGGAATAGTCACCTTTGTTGACTTTGAGGCTTCTGTATATTTTTTCAGATATTCTGAATTCCAAAAAAAGCGCTCATCTGAAAAGTAGCATGTCTTATTTGAATATATTAAATATATGTAGCTAAAATTGTGTAATTGTTCAGTACATAAGTGTCTCTTTTATGATTTTTTAACATACAACATATATCATCAAAAGAAGTGTATCAGGAAAATATGGCATCACTATAACTCTCTTATTTACCTGGACGATCAGTTACATAGGCATGAAGAAAATCCCCAGCAGGGCCCTTTGCTTGATCTATGCGTACACAGACTTGCTCTGCAACATCCCATGCGTTCTTTTCAAGGGCTTTTTCCTTCCTCATTTCCAGATCAGAGGAACTAAGATTTTGGATTTCTTCATCCGATAATTCATCCAAAGGTTTGTGGGCATCCCATTTAAGAGTTGCTCCATCCACAAGGGCATCACCTGAAGATTAATCAAGCAAATATTTTAATGATTTAATGATTGTGGATATATAAAAACTCAAAGAGGAAATTTTTTATGTAATCTGATCAATTTCATAATGTAAATACCTATTGCACTATTAGTTCGCTCAGCTTCATTCTGAGCTGAATCGCCACTTGCACGATGTATTCTTACACGCCTTGCTGTATTATGGATGCGGCACATCTCTGCAAATCTTTTATGAGAATAAACAGAATAATGTTTAAGCAAATAATATAAATTTTCCATCATACCATTTCAAAAAACATTGTAAATTGTATAAAATTTTCCGTCATACCATTTCAAAAAACATTGTAACGTTCATGTAGCATTTTTTAATTTAGTATTTTCAATTTTATCAGGATTAATGGTTGAGATCTATTATGTCAACAAATTAAATTTTACAAATTCAACCTAGTGATGAGTGAAAATGCTTTTGTAAAAGAAGCATTTTATTCAAAAAACAAATGTACAATATGAATATGGATTGAACAGCAGGCCAAGGGCCTGTATTAGTTCTCCCCTTTTTGAGATCAAGGTACAATAAAATTACTGTAATTTTAAATTTCCACAAAACATGTAAAATAAATTGATATTGAGAGAATTATGAAAAATACATGATTGAAGAAGAATCATTTGAGAGTGCTCATGTGTAGGACACTACGTAGATATCATTCTACTTACTACAACCTTGAATTATTTAACTTTATATATGTGAATGTTTATTTTATTTATTTATTTTTTTATTTATTTATTTTTTGTAAACCATTAAGAGTATCTTCCAAATTGTAATATTTTAAAAATTTGTATCAGAAATTCAAAAAAATATAAAAAAACCCCCAAAATTTTCATAACAGCCCTTTCTCGAATTTTTGACCCAAAAGAGTGTATCCATTAATTCCTTGAAGTATGCGCTTTTCATGGGGGAATTGCCATATTTCTATTCCAGAAAGTATAAAGAAGATGTACACGGTGAAGGTTAAATTATTATGTTCCTAAGCGTTTTGAATTGAATGTAAAACCTAGATTATACTAAGTTCACCATGTAATATTGTGTAATTGAAAAGTCGGTTTTAAGTTAAGAATTTATTGTAAGTCCAAAAACCCCAAAATTTTACAAATATGATTTGGAACAAATTTCGTAGATAGACTACAAAACTGAATAACACAAGAATGTTCCTAATTTTTTACAAACTCACAAATCTTTTTTGACAACTCTGCCTACTTTATACTGACCGGCCAATTAAAATTAAGGATGGAAAATGTCATGAACATAGGGAATCTGTAAGACATTAATTTACCACACTGAAATTAGGTAGAGCAAAGCATAGCAAATTCAAAGAACGCAATCCTAGGATGTAACCATAAATTTGATAACAAGATTGAGTTAATAACATTGCTATGTCAGACAGGAAAGAGATGTAAAAATAAATACTGCCCCCAGTGCAAAAAATGCCTTTCCTAAATATCAAAAGAAAACGATTATCTTTCAACTACAGATGTCAAACAAGACCGAAAATTAATAGAATTTTCATAAAAGATATGTTGGAGAAAATTTTACATGGGGTTAATTAAAGCAAATTAATATTAAAAGTAAAGACCGCAGAAACGTACAATGTACAACATGAGCTAGAACTCCAAACAATGTCTAACATTATGCTGTCTATTAAAATTTTTTAAAATAATTTTATTATTATTATTATTATTATTATTGTATTCTAGCCTGGCAATGCTTAATTTCCGAAAAGGGACGCAAATTGAAAAACCTTTCATTTAATGTACTACCGTGCATGAGGTTGTACTAATTTATAAAAATAAATTAAACCAAATTTTTACCAGCTATATAGGGAACTTATTTGAATTTTTATGGGGGGGGGACTTCCTATATTATTTATTGCTCCGCCTGTAAATGTCTTATTTGAAACCAATTTGAATGATTTAGCTGGTATGAATGCTATGTGAACCAACGGTAGTGGATATCCTGGTTACACGGCTATTTGGGGCACACCGTAGAGCACTGCAGCAGTTTAGCTAGCAAACATATAATTTATACCGGCTGATCGCATGAAAGTTTTGGTAAAGTCAAATTGTATCTGGAATAACACTAGTAGACGGGCGGGTTTTGGACATTATCCACCGGTGGCGCGGTTTTATGTTTTGTTAGAAAAACAGCTCGCTAAGTCAATATTTGTTAAAAATTTAAAACCCTGTATCAATAACATTGATTCATGGCATCCGGCACAATTCTGCTGGGCTCTCTGGGCTATTAACAGTTAAAGCTACGCTTCCTCTTAACTCGGGCTGCTAGGATGTAGCAAATATGCACACTGGCAAATTCATCAAAAGGCATCTAACTTAAACATAAAAATTTATGAATACTTTTTAAGTCTAAGGTGTCTTTAAAGAAAGGACGCCAAAAACCAACAACTGAGTTGTAAACAAAGTGATACTCATTTCATTTATGCTCATAGAAAAACTAAATGTAACCCCTTTGAACAGAAAAGTAAATTTTTCCTGTATTACAATCATACTGATAATAATCGTTTAAATTTCCCCCGCTGAGAGGATTCGCTTTGACGAAATTCTTTTTTCCGGGATTTCCAAATTTTCAACAAACGAAATATTAAAGAATAAATCTATTAACTCCATAACCAAGATAAAAATGTCACATGTATGGAGATACACTTTTTGTAACACGTACTTTGTAACAACTAAGAACTATTGTGATACTCTTACTTAAAATTGCCAATGAACTGAAATGAAGTTGCCATTATTTTTAGATGTAATAGGGCATATATCTACCACTTATCGTGCCTGTCTCGGATAAGTGAGTTTATTTCAGTAACCCTATGTCCTTCCATTCCGGATATCTTAAGCCCTTACAGATATATAATCATATGTGCCTTTAGTCCTAACCTATAATCCGGAAAACATGGCTATTTACATGTACTAGTCTAAATTATTTTATCCTCTTCCTCTTTGATAAATCGAAAAAAGGGTAAGGTCATGGAAAATTTTGTGAAGTTGAATTGTTGCAATATTTTAATTTTCCAAATGAAATAAGGTTGATTTCATGGGTAATATCAAGGTTTGTAATTTCAAGCCAATTTAGACGCGTCGATGGTGTAATTTTACCTTGGATTTGGCCCGAGATTTTTTGCAAAGATCACGTGATGGAATTTAAAAAATGGTTTAATCTCATAATCTGAATTATAGATAACAGCAATAAAAAATATATGGGAGTCAAAGCATTTTTAACGTTAGTAATCATTTTTAGGAGAAAAAGTTAAACAATCCCCGATTCGTTTTTTTAGGGGGGGGGGGTGGGGGGGTAAAGGCAGAAATTTTAGTCAGGCATACAATTTGTCAAATCCGTTTTAAGTTTTGTTTTCCAATGTAATGAATTAAGAAGGTATTTACATATTTAGCCAACATTTAATAGTCTTTAAATGGCATTGTCTAATGAACTTCACGAAAATTTGGGTTTTTTCACTTATGCAGTAATCAAAGTACTGAAAGTACTAAGAGGATGTTTGTTAACATCATTGTTGTGAGTCATTTGCAGTTCGGTATCGTTTAATTTGCTTGCTGGTCTAGGAAAACAATTCAATAAAATGCATAAAGGCATACCAAAATATTTTATCAAAAAATTTTTGGGGGGAGGGGGTGTTACAACAATTGATTTTTCCCAAAAAAAAAAGGGGGGGGGAGAGTTGGTTCGAAATGAACATAATCAATGGTGTAACCCGGGGAATCCCCCTGATCAATTGTGGTATAAAAAATTACAACTTTAAAGTCAAATATATCTGATTATTTCTTTTAGGGTGAGCTAAAAAGGCTCTAACCAAGAGAGCTGTAAATTTTTTTATAATCCTTAAGTAAAACAGCAATAATTAATCATTCATTTGCGTTAGACTAGATATGCTGGGTTAAGCCAAAAGCAAGGAGTAAATTATATTTGTACAAGACGCACTAGGGTAAAAAGTTAATTTTTCTCAATCTTTATACTGTGGAGGTCCTTTAAAAAATGAAATTAAAATTCAAAAAAAAAAAAAAAAAATTTATATTGAGTTTTTTATAATTTTTGATAGGAATGACTGGGCCGCAAATTAAATCTTGTTTCCAAGCATTTAAATAGAAATATTAATAATTTCAATCTCTAATAGGATAAATTCTTTACCCTTAAATGTCCATCAAGTACATAATACTCTGACATTATATTAGAGCATTTCACTGTCAAAAAGGATTCCCCAGGAAATAGAAAATTCACTAAATATTGTATTAAATTAACAAAGATTAGGGGGGGAAAGCACATTTTAATTAAATAAAAGTTAAAATATAAGGAAATTATAATCATATGCTGTGGTGGAAAGATGAATGAAAACATATGAACTGTAATGACATTAAAAACAACATTTTTAATCAGTTTTTTTTTAAAACCCAGTACACTTGTAGTTTTAAATAAGAGGGAAATAATTCTTACCAAATTTTGGGTCATAAATTAAGACACTTTACAACCTTACATGCTAATTGTAATAAATGAGAGTTATGTTGAAATTAATGAAGGATTTAACCGAAACATCTTTAATGTAATTAGTTACACAAAGCTATAACATACTCCAGATTTATATCTCAGAATTTAACTAATTTCAACATTAAAGTAGTTGTACTTTACCAATCCATTGTATTTAAACATAAGTTGTTCATTCCCCACCAACTTATCTGAACTAGTTTGCATGTGTGACTGATCATATAAGATTAAGAGGCATTGTTAAAGGAAGTTCTAAAGTAACATTAACCAACTAAAAGGCCAATAAAAGACATGCCTTTGCTTGCTTTTGTCATACATTACAACCTGTTTAGAGTCATAACCTTCACAATGCAACTGCCAAAATTTAATGTAAAGTATTTTATATTGTAGATTATGCACCAAAACACAAAAATCAACAGATTATGTTTAGGCTGCATCAAAAAATTCCTTAATTTTTCATAATCAAAAAAACTCTAAAATAATTATATTGTGCCATTTTGTATTATAGGATTATATACAAGGTCACATAATTGAAAGGCACAAGTTTTATCATGATTATCAGATAAGTTTTACAAAGCAGTCTTTTGGACAGGGATCCCCCCATTTTAATAATATCAATACATCTAGAGTAAATGTGTACAAAAATAAAATAAATTTCCCTTTTTTAGTGCTAAGGCAAAAAAGAATTAGGTGTATCACTCTGTGTGTCAGCATACAGTGACCTACTTAAGTTAATCAAACTTGCAATACAAAAAATAATTTTCGCATGAATATAACGATATACCCAATTCCATATGCTCAACAATCTAAAGTAAACATAACAAAGGCATGTTAAAAATAACTTATACCGGATTCTTATAAGTTAGGTTTTTCCTTTTAATTACCAAATATGCTTTTCAAGGTTTAAACTTGATATAAATTACTATGACCATCATTTCTGAGAGGAAACTATTCTTTTCGAACAATATTTTGTTGGTCAACATTTTACAAAGCTTGTTTTTGTTTTAACTGAGTTTAATTGCCCGGTTGAAAAGATGAAACATAAATCCAAAATTTAGGTTCCTTTAACCCAAGCTTTATATGAGAGGTTGAATGGGAGGTTTGGCTAACCCCTTTTAACAGGAATTGCGGGCAGGTTTAGACAGTATTGGATAGTTTATAAAATATGTTTGTATTTTTGTAGGGTAAAAATTTAAAACTCCCCACTTTTTCTGAACAAAAAACACATTAGAATGCTACAGGGAGAAAAAGGTTATTAAATTTTGGAAAAATTGCGCTTTTCAAAAGCATATTGTGTAAACATTAATAAAAGAATATCCCCTTTAATCCCAAAAGTAAATTTTACCTTCTGGTATCAGAATAGCCAAATATCTGAATAGTGGGTTGCTCCATTTCTAGTCCAAATATAAGGCCTACAAGATGTTCCCTATTTTTACACTCTTTAATGGTATTCTATTTTTCCCTATTACTAATGATAGTTTGGTTCATAAATTGTGAAGTACTAAAAAAGGGTCTTCAGGTTTATAGATAGGTATATAAAGGAATCGGTTGGGAAGGGGGGGGGGGGATTAGGACACATACACATTGTTATTGTTAAAAGTTGTAAAAAGAAGCGTAATTAAACGAAGAGGTAAACCATACAGCATCTTGCCGTTCCAATTTTGGTTTGTCTAGTACAAAATCCTTTAAGACAACTATAAGCAACACTTGCATGCAAAGATAGTTATATTTTTCTAAGTTCTATAGAACTTTGTCACTCAAGGAAACTTGGTAAGAGGTGTTTTAATGATTTAAAAGCCATAAAAGAGTTACAGCCTTGCAGGTATTTCAAACAAGTTACCAATGGGAAAAAAACAGTGTGGTAAATATCAACAATGTTAGAGGAAATAGTAGTTGTTATATACGGACAAGTCATTGGCCCTTTTTTCTTTTGTAATCATTATTCTGTAAATGTTTTTTAATAGCAGGCCCTGGTCACGGTGACCATTTGCGTTGAGGTACTGCCGCCGTCACCATTCTTGGACCCCCTTGGTGGCGGTTCAGTTCCATGATTACTCGTATAGACACAGTATTCGTGGCCCTTGCAAGTGGCTATTCCGTCGCACCTCAACGCAATTGGACGAGTGCAACACATATTCTTACGCTCTTATTTTTTATTGACTTGATTGATATTTGAATTGATTGATTGATTTATAATTGATTGATTGACAAGTAATTGACTTGATTAATATTTGAATTGATTGATTGATTAATAATTGATTGATTGAATTTGATTGATTATTGCATTTGTGACGTTTTGCACTTGTGACCTACCCCTCATGATCCGCCCGATTTGGGTCGTCACATTTGTTGTATTGATTGTTGATATGGGGCAGCCCGTGGTAGCCCCAGCAAATTGATCACCGCGGCCAGAAGCGCCATATTAAACAAGCAAAATAACATCCATATTGTTTGTTTGATTTACAGGGGAAAAAATAATTTAAAACAAAACAGTGAAAATTGGATAACTTGACCCATATGCATACATATAAACTCCCACAAAACATGAAGATCAGCTAGGGTAAATCTAAACTAAATGAAATCCTGCTACATTAGACGCAAATGTCATAATGTAAACAATACATAACTGCCTCTTATTGGCATATATGTAAAATCTACAAGTATCTAGGAACAAACTCCTTTAACATAGGTATGCCAATGCATAACGAATTTAAGCCATTGATCTTGGTAAGTTTCATTTCTTCGACCACAGTCCATGTCGTGTTAACTTAAAAATTCTCCAAATCAAAAAATCTTACACGATATAAACTGTTACTGGTACAAAGAAACTCTTAGCCTTGACTTATTGTATAAATGTGGATAGGTACAAATAAATAATAACCCTAACTCCCCACAATAAGAACATATATCGGCCCTCTTTTATTGCTAAACACCGTGGGTAGGCACATTTAAACTTTGTACCAAAAACTCCCACACAATAAGTACATGTATGCGGCCTACTCTTTTCTATTGTCAAACACCGTGGGTAGGCACAGATAAACTTTGTACCAAAAACTCCCACACAATAAGTACATGTATGCGGCCTACTCTGTTATATTGTCAAACACAGTGGGTAGGGACAGATAAACTTTGTACCAAAAACTCCCACACAATAAGTACATATATGCGGCCTACCTTTCTATTGTCAAACCCGTGGGTAGGCACATTTAAACTTTTCCAAAAACTCCCACACAATAAGTACATGTAATTGCGGCCTACTTTTCTATTGTCAAACACTGTGGGTAGGCACAGATAAACTTTGTACCAAAAACTCCCCCACAATAAGTACATGTAATTCGGCCTCTTTCTTTTAAACAACGTGGGTAGGCACAGATAAACTTTACCCAAAATCCCACACAATAAGTACATGTATGCAGCCTACTCTGCACTATTGTTAAAAACCGTAGGTAGGGACAGATAAACTTTTACCAAAAACTCCCCCACAATAAGTAATATATGCGGGCCCCTCTTACTATTGCTAAACACCGTGGGTAGGCACAGATGGTTTTTTCCCAAAAACTCCCACACAATAAGTACATATATGCGGCCTACTCTTCTACAAACAAGTTAGGTTAAAAAATTTATACCCCTACAAGTCCACACATAAAACATTAGGCCGAAATTATTTCGATTCAATAATAAACAAACTTGTGAACTAAACAAAAAACTCTGTACCGTAGCTCCCTTTTTTCAAGATTATAAATTTGGGAAACGTTATATGGTAAATCTTAATCCGTATAACCGTGTCTAAATGAAAATTTTTACATAAGACCGAAACCACTGTCATTTGAAGTTAGAAGAACCGAACAAATGTACAAATTCTATAATTTCCACAGAAACACGAGCTAACAAAAACTTGCTGTGTAATTTTTAATAATTCAAAAATATTAAATGGCTTGACTTTAAAATTAATCCTTGCTTTTAATAACAGAATTTGCTGACAAGCTTTATCTATATAATCTTTCCTATTCATCTTTAAAACATACGCAACACGTTGTGCAATAAAATGATTAAGAATACAATACTGGCCTTATCTGCATTCCTATACAACGAAACCACGTCCGCATTGGCTGGTCGTGCAAGGGGGTGGACAGATGTACACCAAATCGACTTGATAGCTCAGGTTCATCCTGAAACCTCTGTGGCCCCAAAAGGGGAACCCTGACAAAAGTCATGATCTCCAGCTGCGTATTTGTTTTCCATCAACGCCATCCTGCAGATACTGCCTTTGATGAAATTATCACAACTTCTCGCCAAACAAATCCTGTTCCATTGATTAAAATTTTTCAGTTTTAGTCGTTTAGTTTAACAAACAACAAAAATCAGAAATCACGCGCATTATATGGGTATATGGAAATCTCTGTCCTTTAATGAACGAACGAATAGTTCAAAACACAACACAAAGTTAATAAAGTCCAATCATCGAAAAATATACTCCACATGACTCCACATGGGCATTGCAAAAATCACATGTGAATAATACGCACGTCTATCACAAATTGTGGGGAACACCCTGGTTAAGTAAACAAAAAAATAATCTCAAAAAGCACAAATCTAGCAAATTTGACAATAATCAACAAATGATGGAATAAAAAGCACTTCTCTTGGCTGACTATAACGATCACAAAAAATTGTGATTTCTTCAAAAAAGACGTGCTTCATGTTAGCGGTGGTAAGCGCGCGAGGGGAATGACTGCTGAGCTAACCACGTGACCTTACACAATCCCTGGCAAGGCGTGGATCTGAAATTTTACAATTTACCAACGTAAATGTTTCTGGAAACCTCCAACAAATTATCGCATTAAATACACAAATACAATTATTATTCTAATAATTGTCGTTTTACATATTTTTAAAAACTGTAAAATCACATATTTTGTGGGGTAATTTTGTTGTTGAAGGAAAAAATGCTGGTTGGGGGATTTTATTTTGTTGGTGAAGACCTTTTTAGTAGTTGTGCATAAGAAAATTTACATTTCGTGGTGGTCATGAAATTTTTTTCTACCACGAAAACAACGAAAATTTAACCCCCACGAAAATTTGTGATTTCACAGTAGTATTAATCCCAAAGGGATAGCCTTTGTTTATGCAATTGTTAATTAACTATAAAGAGAATGTATTCTATTAAATTTGTCGTGTTTTATGTACAGGTTACGTAAATTTTAAACGAAATGCCTCAAAAAATCGTACTTTTCCCAAAGGGGATACACTGAAAGATCTGAACCATTTTTTTAAAAAAAGATAAAGGATATATTCCTTTAAATTGAAAAGTGCTGCTGCTTTCTTTAAATCCAGGACATGATTTATAAGTACACAAAATATTTGGTAAAATTATAACATATTTCGACATTGGCCTATTTACTTTAAAATTTTAAATATTAAAACGCGATTTTTATTCAAAGCAGCAGCACTTTTTTTAAAAATACAAAGTACGAGAAACAATTTATAGCTTAATTTTTAATTTCAATTGGGTATGCCATTGCGATTTGAAATTTGTTATTGACCTACATTCCGTGTACCTCTTGCGTTTATCACGTGACTGTCCATTGATGGGACCAAACTCTACACAGTCAATATGTTTTACTATGCTATTTCCATAAGTATTTTTGTTTTTGTGATAATAGAATTGCTGTATAAAAATAAATTCAATTTTAAAAATTTCCCGTTTTTTCACTTTTTTTTTCTGTTGATTTCTCTTAGTAAGACTTAACAGTGCTGCGCTTCATCACCTGCATACGGAGTATTTATATTCAGTTGATTCGATACCCAAGAGCATGCGTTACGTATGAACAATTTTTTAAACGAGGTAAATTATTGACAAGCAAGTTGATGAAACAAGAATATCAACAGTCTGTTTAAAGTCATCATTTTTTAAATTTATCGTCGATACAATGACCATGTCAGCAAATCAATTCATCATGGAATGAAATGCTGACTGACGTTTTTATAGCAATTGTTAGTCCATTTTTTTATACACGATTTAAGGGTTTTTTTGTTTTTCCTGATTTGACAACGAGCACACGGCGGGGGGGGCGTGGGGATGTTTCCCCCTCCATCACCTAAACCAACCTCTGATTTTGGAGGTCCGTGTTTGCTCTGCTCTTATTTTGTATATTTTTTAATGGACGTTGAGATTGAATATTTCGTTATTTCCATATCCTTCTTTCTCCTCCATGTATATTACACTAAAAGGATTTGTACGCCTTTATCACTCATATTTTTTTCTATACGAATTAAAAGAGTTTATTGCCAACTAAACTTTCATTGACTAATTCTATTTTCATGAATTCTCTTTTTTAAAAAAACGTCTGTAAAATTTTAAAAATCCCATGATTTGGTTAAGGGACCAAACGATAAATCATTGTTGTTTACCATAAGGCCGATAGCGTACATAAATGTTATGCTTGGTGTTTAACTTGGATAGTTAGGAGAAATTTTCATTTTGTAAAAAAAAATAATTACAAATGCTCCTGACTTGAGACTGTGTTTCTGCTTTTGTTCTTTGTTGAATTAAAATTTATGATTTCTGGCGGGATAACAACTGTGTATTTGCCACAAAAAATGTGAACTCTTTCTTGCTTTTTATGCTGTGCTCGGTTTTTTCAAAATCATTGAAGGGTAGAAGAGGGATTTGTTGTCCCTATCTTTCATTTCGGAGTAAGAATTAAAAACAACTATTTTTACAAACTCATTTAACAAATACGGTGTGTGTAACATTGAAAACAATTAATGGGCATAGGTGTCCTTGAAACAAGGCTTAAAAATGAAGAATGGAAAATAAAAAAAAAATTAACCAATCCCTTTAAATTTAAAAGAGTCATTATCTTAAGCAAAAGTAGCTCATATGGATAATTAAGAACGATGCTTTCATTGGTTTACCAATTCTAAAGAAATTGCTTAAAAAGTTGTAATATGTCATATCCCAAAAATATATATGCAAAATAAATAAATAAATAAATATGTATGGTTTTTTTCACATTTCATGTAAAATACAACTGCAATATGCGTACTTTCCTGTGCACATGTTTTGAAGTTTGCACGATTTTAAATACGCAAAATCACTGATTGCGTAAAAATCAAAATACTGTATTTAAA